GTACGAGGGAGGGAGGTCAATCTTCACGACTACCACTTCATTCATTAATGTATTAACTTTATTATACGGCATATGTTCGTTTGTACCAAAAATGACGGGAATAAGACACATCTAATAATTGATCAACTCAAAAAGATAACAGATAATGCGTTGATCAACCAACCGCATTTCGGATGAGCCACACATTACACTTCCATTAAAAAATCGTAGTTGCATTTTGAATGAGATTTGACGCATGCAAAGGCTCGGTCTAGCTATCTAAGCCAGGCTTTTATCCTACTAGACAAGCCTGGTACTAATTGGCAGATCCCCTAGGGATGGAAAGTCAACTTCACCCGAACTATGTACAATCCAGAATTCGATCCTCGTACCATGCGCATGAAAAGTAGCGTCACTGCCATTCACCTCTTCCACTCCATTTACTTTAACTCGATTTACTATGTGTATACATCTTCGACCTTCGTAATACTCAAACTGTGCTCACCGTGCGGCATCGTCGAACTCCCTCCGTGCTAGGACCTCTGCCAACCTTCTTGTAAGGCTAGGATGCCTGGCCTTCACAAGCAAAATGGACTGATTCTTGTAAACCTGCAAAGCGCAAGCGACAATACAGTGTATTTATTTCATGACTGCTTGGTCACCTTCAAATTTTACATTGAACAGGCAGCTAACTGAGAATTTTTCTAGTATCTCCCATTGATTCCGCACCATCAAAATCTCGTATCCAAATTTTGGCAAGATCGCCATCATGCTTCTTTATGAATATTTTTCCGTCCCAAGAAAGTGAATATTACGCTGTGAAAAACGTGAATATTACGCTGTGAAAAACAACAAATCTGACTGTAGACCTTAATATTTTTTTCAATCCGCATCTACGAGCTACACGTCCGCAAATTTCCGTGATCTTTTTTTGAAGAGCAGCCAGAAGTGGGAAGTGAAGAGCAATGAAAAGAATGCGATATTGAGCAACCAGCAGCAAAGTATTGCTAAGGCTTAGTGGCCATGGCAAGGAGTCAAGGCTTCAATAGTCGAAATGAACTCAGAGTGGTGCTTAAAGGCAAGATTCGGGATAAAATAGGTGTGGAAAAGCGTTCAGTTATGAAGCTATAGGTGAGAGGTGGTCCGTAAAAGAGAAGGAAAGCAAACGAAACCACCGATTACCCCGTACAGAGACCTCCCCTATTTCAGCCACATTCCACCTTGGAGATAAAAAACGAATTGGACGAGTTTCACGAACCTAACTCTACTTGCTCCAGTGTCAATAACATTGGATCGCGCTGCTGGGACCACTGCCTCAAATGCGCCCGCGCTTTTCAAGCAGCGCCACGTGGCAACCGACAGCGAAGGGTGGGGCTTGCGGACGAAGGTGTGAGTTGCGGGTTGGACGAGCTCCTTGCGCCTTTGTCGCGTACCTTCAAGCCGCAAAAGGACCCGACATCAACACTGCACACCCCCTCGGTGGCATAGGCGATCCGCCTAAATCGCGGAGCGTGCCTTTAAGGCTTACTGGCCATGGCAAGGAGTCAAGGCTTCAATAGCCGAATTGAACTTTGAGAGAAGCCGGAAAGCCTGCGTCACCAGCTGCTGAATATTTGATTTGATAGTTCGGACTTCGGTATTCTTCGACGTAATCTCATAATGCCTCTGCGCCTTCTCGCTGTGGCGAATCAACCACTGCTAAGCGCCGATCAGACTTCCAATCCAGCGATTCGGCTAGCGAATTGTGGGTACAGCGGATCGTCCAAAGCCTAATCATGATTCAGGCACGGACTTTTATTACTAGTTGATTAACCAACGTTGAAGGGCTTGCGCTTCCGGAATCACGCTGTTAAGTCACTCGAAGCATACTTCAACATACTAACGTATTTCGCAATGAAACGGTCTTAGACGGAAGGAATTTGAAATTGAATAGAATGCGACAGTAATTATGAGACAACCCAATAATCTCTTCGCATTCAACTTTTTGCGAATGTCTAAGGCTAATTAGAAACTAGAAGATTAGTGCTTTCGAATAAGGGCTGAAACTTTTTTGAAAAATCACTCGTTCAAAAAATAGTCCGTCGTTCCGTTTTTTTCATAGACTTTTTTTTCAAGCCTTTCTTCTGAACCGCGACATTGCAATATTCAAGAACCCATAACTTCGTCAAACTTAAAATGAGAACGCAAGAAACCGGAATCTACGCGAAGAGTACTTTATTACTAGCGTTAACTTTTCATGGAATTCTTTCTTCTGCTTCAATTTCATAAGGGGTCTTTGAAATTCAATTCAGCAAGTTCGCTACATTTTGTTCCGCTTAGATTTGATTTAAAAGCATCAAAATTTTCTTGAGGAAGTTTGTCTGCTTACGGCCCCTGACAGTGAAGGCGTTTTCGTGGGAAGACGCCTGCTCGGTGTACCGTGCACCGCTTCTGTGGATAAAAGTCGCACTCGCATTTGAAAGTCCTCCATTTTCCTGAAGAAGGTGTTAGTATCGTGATTGTGTTGCATTGTACTGTTATATGGTACTCTTTTTTCACTTCCCCATGAACTGCTCTACACTTTGTTCTCCTTGGGATTTCAGGAATGTTCGATCATCGAAGACAGACCATGTTTTTGCACTACGTTCTAACAAAATTTTTGGCTATTGTGATCTTGATCAATGCTGTCGAGCAAAAACGTCGTCCGTGTATCAATGATAATAATGGATGAAGTGAGACTTATAATACCCTGCATGCTCTAATGCTCCCATGGAGCTCTTGTCTGTGCGACTTTCCGACAGCTGCACGGTGCAGAGCTTTTGGAGAACATTAGGGCGTGAAAGTGCCGCACACTGCCTTGTCGCCCTCTTGCAGCCCCGTCTCTCTGTATGCGACCCCTCGTTTCGGCAAATGCGACCCCCTCGTTGTTCTTTTGCGCAACGTAGGGTTACCCTGCTCTCGCCTCGGTTCCCCGCACTCCTAGGTTCTCTCGCTTTCTAATGAGAATAATTGTAGCACAAGACTAGTGAGCATAAGAAAGTCGGGTAGTCAACGAAGGGCAGAATCTCTCGCCACTCCACTTTAGAGTCGCTGGTATGTCGTTCTATCCGCTGGTACACAGCTCAATCCGCTCGTGCAACCTTCATACCCCGCCAATCGCTCGCGAATCGCTGGATTCTGGCACCGCCCTCACTTTGCCAAGCAGAGGGTTTGCACTGCTTGGATGAGGGAAGGTCGGTTCCCTGTCTTTGTTTGCGTCATCTCACTGTACCTATCACCTTGCATCCTATTCTCGGTTTAGAATAGTAGAGTTTTTAGGATGTGTGAAATTCGCATTAACTTGACCCTGTCACAAAACAGCAGAGTGATCTCTGACCATGAGTTTGGTCATGGCATCTAGGAGGGAAAACACCAAACATGAGCGATATCAGCAGAACCCACTTCTTTGTCTTCCCAGTTCATGTCGTAGAGCGGGCGCCATTCTTCTAAATCAATTACAGCGAGTCCATCAAACCACTGATCGGGAATTGTTGTCAGAATATCTTTAACGACCTGATGTAAATGGTTGTGCAGTGAGGCATTCTGCAAAGTTTGATACTTGTTTAGTGAAGCGTTTCGTGAAATTACATATTTCTTACTCGTTTTCGAAACTGCTCAAATCAGACTGGAAAGGAAAACAAAATTGGAGTCTATTAGCGATTTTCGTTTGCATGATACTAGCCGTACCTTTCTGCTTTACGTGTAGGGAGATTCAGCATGCTGTCGACGTTATCCAGCGCGCTGTGAAGAAGATGTTTAAGGTTTCCCACAGACGCAAGTGCACAAGGAAACCCGGATTTCTAAGCTTTGTCCACTGTCTGGAGCAGGGATACAGCCAAGAAATTGAAGATCACGTGGGCAGGACACTTCATACCATTTTGCGACGACCATTGGACTAAACCGCTTATTGGTTGGATTCCTCAGGACTCAAACAAATCTTCGACCCGATGATCAGACTTCTCCACGAAAATGCACCGTGTCCCTTCACATGAGTGTCGAGGAATGACAAGCACCGAAATTCTCGATACGCGATAGGGACGAATGGAAACTATAGCTCGCAGAGAATTCGCCGATAAGCATGATGATTGGTTTCACAGGTGACACCTTTCGATATCGTAGAATGTGTATTCGAGAATCGAGATAGGCACCTTACTTCCGCCGTTCGTTAAAGACACTATTCGTAAACAGTGAATATTCTCAAAATTGATTGCTCCATTCGAGTTCAAGTTGATTACCTGAGGTAGTCCTCCATTGACTGGTTGATTGGGGTCGGAGTTATTGTAATACGGGCATAACCCAAACTTCTTTTCATAAAGCAGAACCACCTTTTTACCAAAAAGTTTCTGTCCTGAAACGAGAACTTTTCGTTAATGTTTGGATGATGAGAAAGTCTGGAGCCGTTTGACATTTTCTCTTTTTATTTTTTTGGTCAACATGCAATAGATTCTCAGCAATGTCATCACCAATGTCTTTCGGTACAGTATTCCATCAAGTGGATAGATCAACGGTTCCCTCTTGCTAGAACTAGAGACTGGAAGTCAAAAAAGACGACCGAGATCCTCTTTGTCATCTATTTCCACCAAGATTAAGGCCCAGTTTGAAAAGACGCTTGAAAAAAGAGCAGCTAGGTTGGATACACAGCTCCCTAGCACTCTACTCCACGACATTCTTTCCCTCTCCTATTCATTAATTGTCTCTCTTTGAGGCGTGCTAACGAAGAACAATCGCATGAGTGAAAAGTTATAATATGCGCACCAGCTTCTCTAGGCCCCCAATCTCCCCAGTCTAGTTAACGGGGTGCTGAACCTGCTCATCAGGTCGACACTGTAGGGAGTGTCAGGGACACTGGGTGGTATTACATTGATCTGACACCGAAAATGCCATGAATTTATGCTAAATAAAAACATAAAAAGATAGCCATACGCTCGAGACTTCTTACCAACATAATACCACGGTCGCTAGGGTATGTGTAATGCACGAAAATTTTAACAGGAAGCTTTATGCTACCTTCGTTATGAACGATTTTGAATTGGTCGAGAGGTATGTGAACGTGCACCTTTCTCTCACAACGATCACTTGGAAGGTTCCAGAAAGCCTTTAATTGAGAATTTTGATAATCGACTCCGAAATTTTGCGAAAAATACCCTCATCCTTTAAACGGACTTTGGCGACACGATAGCACTATCAATAAGCAAAGAGAAATGAACAATGGCAAGCGAGGAATGGTTGCCATTACGTTGATTTGAGCGCAACTTGTATGCTCTAGCTTGTTGAGCGATTTATATAGACGACTGCTGAAATAAAACTCCAGAGCATTTACATTTTTTTATTAACTTTTTTCTTCTTTGTGCTAACAATTTCGTGACATCCGTAACAGTCTCATACGTGGATCAACGTTTTTGTGCGCAGAATAATGTAGTAACTTCCTGTTACCACTGCCACTGCTCTCTTCTGCTTGAACGGTGTTGTTTCTTCCACATGCAGTCTTTCTCGCTATAATATCTATATTGCTAAATTTTGTGAACACAATTCTATGAGCAAAAAGCAAAAAACCTTCTTTTACAACATATTAGGCACTGTTTAATTGGAGCGCAACTAACCAAAATAAATAAACGCCATCCTTCTTGATTTATAACTTGTGACACAAGAATGGTCCAGTTCACCACTAAGGTTGCATATTTCTACGTTTAAGACACTGCAACTCAATCGGTACTTTTTGTCTTCAAGTTCCACGACACCGCTAATAACGCCTCACGAGGTCCAAGATGCCTGCAAGTCATGATGTACAGCGGAGAGGCAAGTATCCCCCGAGGCGACATTTACCAAATAATTCTGTCGCGCACGTGCGGCTGTAGTATGAGATAGTTTCAACGCAAGTTTTGGCTTAGTCCCTTTATCTGAGTTGTAGCCGCCCCTCACTGCCCTCCTTCCCCGTAAATGGACGTTTCATCTCCACCCCTCACAGTCCCAGAGCAGTAGAGTTCACATTTTGAAACGTACGCTCACTGGAACGTAAAGGACGCCTCTCTGGCTATACAAGCGTACCCACTCGCCGCGTATGGACCTACGGATAACCCACCAGATGATCGTGGCGTACCCCGCCAACCGCGCCAAGAGTGAGCCATGCTAGATCGCCGAGGTCAAATCTTTCGCTGACAATTGTGCGTCGTCAGCACCCTCAAGGAAGGTCCGCCTGTCTCCCAACTATGCAATTTTCCCCTTTGATCATCGTTCTTATTTTGAATCATCCTCCTTTAATTGGAGGTCCCAAAAACACCTGTGCCGCGCTGAGGAACCTGTCCACCAGCGAGCTTCAAAGACGTCGAATTTATCTGTATCCTGTCCTTATGCAGCCCTTCAGTTCTGACTCAGGCATCGCATAGCACGCCCTGGCTCACTTTTTTCTTCGTCAGTACAAAAACGCTGCTTAATTTAGGTAAATCAGCCTGTATTACAATTATGGAATTGCACATCATTATTGAAGGCGTACCTTCTTTGGTAATGAAGGAGGAGTAACCTCCAGGCAGAAACGTGGTGTCGCGCTTTTGTTGCAGCATGGATCCCAGCAACAACAGCATCATTTCCAAAGTGTAACACCTCTCTAATAGAGGAACATATGGAATTTGACTGGTAAGCATTTTGGATACTGTGTGGGTCTAAAAGTTCAAGCATTCGTGACACAGCTATAGAGGCGCTGAGGGAGGAGCGTCGATCACTTTACTTCTCCATTTTTCTTCATTCCTCAGATGAGCAGGCGTACTCAACGAATCGCATGAAGAGCTTTCATCTGAAGCCTTTTTAAATTCTTGCAAACTCACCTCTCACAGTGGCGCCCAGCTGTAAGACTTGCTGATCTATGATGCTGCCCTTTTCATTGTTTCATCGGGAGGATATGTATTTGACAAGAAAAACAACTGTTTCACTTCTTGCCATGCCACGGCAGTTGTTTTTTGCATATGTACTTTTTCAGCACCTGCTGGAATGGGATGCATCCCAGTGCTGTTGTAGCAGAGCCCCATCAATGCCTGTCCGGTTTTTTTTCTAGCTCCCCCGAAAACATTTCTCTGACTGATCGCTGATGTTATGGGCAATTTATATATGCAGCTATAGGATTTCTACTGATGACGCTTCCTAAGAGATAAAACTCTGTATCTGTAGGTTCTGCTGAGTCTCAAATCTGCTTAATGCCGATGATATGCACCAAGATTGTGTGTAAAAAACTGTGGCTTGCTGGAGCCAAATTATCCTTAAGATTCCAAGTACTACAATGACCCTTGGTCCAATAAGAGAAGAGTCTTGGAAATCCGTTCACAGTGAAGGATTTGTTCCCGAGAACGAGAACTACAGAAAAATGATCCAACCCAGGCACTATCAACTTGTAAACGTCCCAATTCATTTTCATCGATTTTTTTTCTTTTTTTCGTTTTCCAGGTTTAGCTCGTCGTAATCGGGGTAGATATACTCGATATCCGATAGCTGGGGTAGGTGTGGCACCGGATGTGACGTGTACTTGATAGAAGTTGCGTGGATAATATGGTTATCTTATTGGGTAGTTAACTGTGTTACGACATATCTTTTGTACATGCTTTTTTTGGACTAAGTCTCGGTCAATTTGTCCACGTGTCAAGTTGTCTTTTGGCCCCTTCTGCCGTGGTACTGCATAAACGGTAATTACATAGAAGTGCACTTACGTAGAAATAAAATATACATCAACACAGTAGTCAACTACCTCGTAAGCACCACTGAGCCAGCGGTAGGGTCTGTGTTTAGGTTAATGAGATGCGACCTGCATCCGCCCTACATGCTGCGGCCTCAGGCTTGGTTATCTTACTGGGCAGTTAACTCTGTTACGACATATGTTTTGTGCATGCTTTTTTGTCATTGCCTCGTGAATGAAAAGT